CTATTCTATTCTATTCTATTCTATTCTATTCTATTCTAACTCGACCCAGTTTTCTCCTCAACCTTGAAAATTCTAATTGTAAAAGAAGCCTGGGTCTCTTATGACCATATAGCCACCATATTGCGAAACGTAATCATCCAGCATGGCGGTTTATGCTCCATTTTTGAATTCTATGTTTGGCTCAGATTAATAGTTAGACACTGAAATGAGGTTAACCCTGAGAAATCGAGTCTTTAATTAAGAAACACAGCGATATTTTTAGAATTGAAAACTGTCTGTCTTATTAAAAAAAGCGTTTCCTCGAGCCAAACTTAATCGATATAAGGGAAGCAAACTAGTTTGCTATCCTTTAACCAAGCCTACAAGCTTATTAGTCTGTCTATCTTGTCTAACGCACAATTCAAGACTAAAATATTTGTAAATGTATACGCAGAAGCAGTCTCGGTTGTAATTCATTTATTCATGCACTCCAAGTCATTAGAGAAGTAATTACACCAAACTAGTAATCAATTTAAGTCATTTACTTCAGTTTGCTCCATATTACAAGTTTTTTCTTTGGCTCCAGCTTGACGGAATACAAATCATTTCAAATTACAAAATAAAGCCTGAAGTTGTGAACAAATCGTAAAATTTTTTGTCCAAAATTTCCTTTTGTCAAAGAGAAAAACATAAATAGAAACTTTAAGATTATTCGTCGATCATACGCCACCTTATTGTTCGTATCACGAGTGAGTTTGAAATGAAAAAAGTATATTAGGCGGCGTTCTGTGGTTAAATTATCTAGTTTGATTCAGTTTATGTTAAAATTCAAAACAATGCCGAAAAAAGAAGATTTAGCAAATAAAGAATAGGAATCTTGAAAATAAATCGCTAGACACATTTGTCATTTTATCAAAGCAATCAGTTATTTTTAGATAATCTCTCGATAGACAAAATCTATCAAAGAAAGACTTCCATCGCGACAAACGGAATTCACTCAACCTAAATCCTCCTAAATCTATGATACTGATTCTAAAAAGGTCGCATTAGAGAAGCCTTAATTTTTCGTTTGCTGATTTCCCACGCGTTATTTCCAGACAAAAAAAACACACATTTTAGTGTGGGAGAAAAATTTTAAGTTTCTGTGAAATCCTTAATGAAATTTTCTTTTGAATTTGACTATTTGCTTTTTCAGGTGCACTTTGGTATCTTTAGGTACTGCAATTTGCTATCATGAATATGAATTCAATGACAATGTGTCAAACTCTCGATTGAAATTTTGGATTTAGCACTGTGGGGCTGCGCTGCAAATTGATATAGACCTTATCTTTCATTTTATAGGTTCCGTCGTATATCATTCTTTTCAAGAGTTCCATAGGAACAACAAAAGCTACGCTTTTTTGAATTTCATAGAAATGTTTCAAGAGAGTGTCTACAAAATACTTCGAGAAAAAATGCAAATTCTGCATTCAGTGCTGTCTGGCAGTGATCATTTTGGCCCATTATTCTCGTAAATACTTCCTTCCATCGAAATCCATTTTTTTATTCTTATAATTCCAAATATAATTAAATAAATGTAGTTTATTATAATTTTTTATTAGATTGTGCGAAATCAGCTTGAAAATTTAGACTGAGTAATTACATATATTTTATTTAAAAGAACAAAGCTTTCTACTTTGCAAGAACAACTCAGTTTGAATATGTCTTTAACCACAACTACGACTATCATACTATTTCGTCTCTAAAGTTAAATTAATAGCCCTATTTTCGTTTATCATTTTGAAATTTATATGAAAACAAAAATCATGACTTCATTATATTGTAGTTAGTGGAATTTTCGAAAAATAAATAAATAAAATTGATAGTTCTAGATAAGATTTTTTTGTTTGAACTTAAGATCGCTTTTAAATCTTGTGAATTCAAGGGATATTAAAGTGGGAAAATTTAACTTTTAGTAAGAATTCTAGAAAATTTCCAAGGTATTAGTGTAGGTTATTTAGAATTATTCAAATCGATCCAGGTTCCGCAGTCCAGTCCAGTCCATTGGTTAGCCACCTGCTACATGGGCACACTATTGAAGCCCTGCAAAGTCGCTTTGTTTTCATGCGCTCGGTTTGAGCGGCCCAAGTCGATTTGAGGCATAAACATTCAATCGCTGTCCCGTTGAACTGAATAACTCTAAGATATTACTACCAAAACTCACATGTGACGATTTAAACCCCTTTTTAATTCATAGTATTTGAGTACTATAATCTTTGAAAATTGAAAGAATTTCGAACGGATTTAAAACAGACTGGTTGGGAAACTTCTACGACGTGGTTGTTAGAAATGAAAAAAGTATCAATAACAAACGTTTTTCATCCTAAATCTTGGATTCGATCAGCGACTTTCTTAATTCTAACAACATTTTTCACGGCCGCAAAGGCGCAAGGTAAGTTCATCTTGTTTCACGGATCCTTTAAAATATACTTTTCTTTTTGTGTTATTCTTATTTGTTTATTTTAAGACCCGGTTCCAAATTACTCTAATAACGACCTTCTTCGTAAACGGATTTTAGACCCAAATCTTACCACAAAATTCACACCATATTATACATTATTTGACCTAGGTTTTCTTATCTTTGGCTCCTTGAAATAGAGCCCTGCTTTACACAATTCATGGCTTTAAATACATTCGATTGCACAAATATACCGCGCTTTGTCTTATTCTAGTGCTTTGTAGGAATACATTACGAGACGGAAATATATCTATATATATGTGATTGTGTGTATTTTTCTTTTCCAAAGGTCTAAAAATCATTTTAGATTACAAGGTTGATGATTTAGACCAATTTTTTTATTCTTGTGATATTGCCGTAGTTGTATTTATCAAGTGTTAATAAAATAATAGAAACGAGACATTTTCAAGCTATAGTTTTATTATGTAAATCAGGTCAAAGTCTAAGCTTGGCTCTGCAATTATTTCAATTATAAGCTATGTTACCAAGAACTTTACAAATAGAATCTTTTCAGCATATACTGTGAGTTTATTTTTCATTAACTAGAGAAATTCTACAAAAAGCAAAACTGTTATTGATGTCATTAGCTAGACAAGTCAAGAAATTCGTCTAGTTTTCCTGGGAACAACACGAGGAATTCTCCCCGTTGTGAAAAAGATATTTCCTTGAAAAAATAAATAAAATCTAAGGTTTATTTACTCGAAGTGTATATCTGCAGAGGAATCAAAGTTGGTACAATTTTCAATTAGTACACAATACATACACACAAATGTATATATAACTTCATGCAAGAGGCTGGAATTACACTTGTTGGGCAAATTTTGATTTCTATGTAACAAGAAGAAAATTAAGTTGCAAGGAGAAAGATTCCTTAAGTAGATTTAACAAATATTTTCTTTTGTCCAGTCGACATGCTTGAATATTTTTCAAAATTATAAATCGCATATTTTGAACAAGAAAGATGGATTGAAAGATTTCTAGTATTGTAGAGAAAATATTTTATCAGGCTTATCTCAATATCAAAAGATGTTGAAGCCAACTTGTTTAAAGCTCGAAATTTTGGTATATATTGAATGAGTGAGAAAAGAAATTGCATGTCGAAATTTAGACTATTAAACAATTTTTTTTTCGAGGAAACGAACTACAAGTCTATCGAAGCGTGAAGTCTTATTCAAGCTATGAATTGTATAATCTTGGACCCAATTCAAAAATATGGTGTCCAATTCATTAATTTATTTGTAAAACTTTATCTTTAGTGGAGCAGAGTGAAGAGGATTTTTAAGTCATTTTATAAATAAATACTCATTTTCAAATTTCGAATAATTTTCGTGAGGTTTAGAGTTACTTGAGTTGGATTCTAAACGTTAAATTCAACGCGAAGGAAATCCTTGTAACCTAGTAACAATATATAAATATTTCATGACTATTTTCCTTTATTATTCCATTGAATTCCAAAAAGTGACAGTTTTGTTCTAAATAGGTTAGCTTTATCTATAAGTGCCCGTAAAACTGTCAAAAATCATATAATGAATTATTTTCATTGGGATTGGAACGATACCAAAATTGAATTGAAGGTTTTTTGCAAAGTTGTGCCAATACTCTCATACAGATTAATAAGCCTCAAATTTAATTTCACGGGAACAATCAATTTTTGAGTGTCTTTTACGGTTTGCATTAAATTTCCGATTTATATATTTTGTCCTAGTTGTATACGACAAAGAAATTTATATCTTGTTGAAGTTTATATAAATTTATTGTTTTTGTGGTCTATAGTCTTGGCAAACGTTTAAACCACAAAAACCGCAGGGAATTTTATGACGAATCCCCTGAGCTACGTGCTTCTCTTCTCGATGTCCTTAACTTTGGATTAAAGCTAAAGCTATTGACTTTGAAATTTGAAATTATAAATTATAACCAACTATAAGCGAACTCTTACAAGTTATTTTTGTGAATGAAATTTGTCTCGACTTTATTATAATTTCTCCAGAAAAGTCCATTCTTTACTTCTATAATGTGTAAACTCCTCAGGGCAAAGTGTCAAAGTTTTTCTCTTTTGAATAGAACCGAGTGCTCAATTTGAAGTTTTAATATCGATAGAACTATAAACAAACATTTAATAAGTTGTCGTTCAACTTTGGTGTCCGGTCGTTTACATGTGTTATTACTTTAAAGTTTTACAACAAACAACCTCAAACGGTGTTAATATTTATATGAAGAGAAATTACTAACAGTTTCTCCTGAAAAATCTAGTAAAACTAGCTATTTTTAAGCAATAAAGGCTTTGGAAATTAAGTTAAAAAAACGCGTGGGCGTTACAAAAACCGCCATCTTCAATTTCTCGTATTTCAAATAATTTTTATTTCTTCAACTTTGTTCCGGTAAAATTATAATTTCAAGAAAAAATCACTTCAGTTTTGATCCTAAAGACAAAACATTCAACATCAACAGTAGAACCTTTTTGAATATTTCTTCCTCTGACGTTGGGCACCAAAAAAGAATTAGTTTGAAACCTAAACATCGTCATTCAAAGTATCCGATTCTGTCCTTCTCTTGGAATCGGTTGTCAAAAACCACGAATGTTTAGAAATTTTTCAACACTAATTGCGTAGTGCTCATTTGATAAAATGGTTTACATTTGATTTACATTTAACAAATGAAATACATTTGTTTTATTGAACTTTAAGAAGTTTTTTAATGAGCTTGTCGTCATTGTGAAGCTCACAAGCAAACATTTATATCAACAAGGGATCGAAAGCTACAGCCACTGATATTTTACTTGGCGCCAATTCAATAATATTTGAAGTAGTTTATTACCGAGACTCTAGGCGATACTGATTCTTCAAGATTCTAAAATATAATTGATAATAAAAACATATTTAAATAAATATTCTTTTCAAAGCATAAAAATGTTAAGTATTTTTCGAATTACATTTTTAATTTTAATTCAAGATTAATTCTTACTTTCCCGCGCTTTTGAGACGCGCGCGCGATGCTAAAATCGAAATCGCTCACTTGCTCATGGTTCTCTCACGTGGCTGAGATATGGACATGTTTCAAGCCAATGATTTTATTCTTATTTTGATTTATTTTGTTTTAGAATATAAAATGTTTTTTTGAAATCTGTCTTATTTTTGCCATTTTTCTTCAACTTTGTAGATGGTAATGTATCAGTAATTAGAGATTGGCCTGGGCCAAACCCAGAGGCGAATGCAGGAACATCAATAGATTTTACGTGGAGATACACACTAACCAAACAAGACAAAGAACACTTAGATAAAATAAATTTTGGATTATGCTTCAAGGAAAAGTTAAAGGAATCTTTGATAACAGTCACAAAATTGGTCGAAAATAATTCAACAAAGTTTCAATTCAATGTGACAGAAAAGTACGAAAAAAGACTTCGATGGGTTGGTGCCGAGGGGAAAATATCCTTCAAGCTTTCAAATCTCACGAAGGAAGATACTAACAGCTATATAATGGTTATGTCATTCGGGTCAACGAGAGAGCCAATCAGCGACCACGTGGAATTTGTTGTTAACTGTGAGTAACTTTGAGTTGGTTGGCGCATCAGCCAAAACACCTTATTTATCCATGGCAAGACTGCACACTCGTTTAAATTCAAGAAATAGAGAGATCACAAAGGAGATGCAGATGAAAATCGGCAAATCATTTTTGGGGATCTGATCATTTTTTGTTTGAGCTACACGATGACCGACCTCTTGCTTGCTTGCTTGCTTGATTGCTTGCTTGCTTGCTTGCTTGCTTGCTTGCTTGCTTGCTTGCTTGCTTGCTTGCTTGCTTGCTTGCTTGCTTGCTTGCTTGACTTTTTTTTAATTTCTGGTGTTTTTTTTTATTATTTCTGTTTGTTCCGACGAACGTTTTACACATGTAAAAAGTCTAAAATCATGCNTTGCTTGCTTGCTTGCTTGCTTGCTTGCTTGCTTGCTTGCTTGCTTGCTTGCTTGCTTACTTGATAGATTGATTGCTGTTAAAAAAAACACGACTGCATGGTAATTACTTTGAATTAATTGTTAAAACATTTTTCTTGGATTATGTCTAGATGCACCTAGAATCCTGAACAAACCCCCAGAAATGAGACAAGTTCGTCTCCCAGAAGGAGAATCTGTCCATATCTCCTGCACAATCACTAGCTGCCCGCTTGCTGTAGTCACGTGGTCTAAAGAAGGTCGCGTGATCCAAAGCCAGTCAAAGGAACACGATTTGACCATTCAGAAAGGTCGTGTGATAGACTCTGGGGTGTACACATGCGAAGCGAAGAATAAACTAGGAGAAGACAAGATGCAGGTATTGGTCATCGTCACGTCATGCAAGGAGCTAAAGAGTGACGCATCTAAAAATACAGATCCTGGTAAGTTATTATTAAATCAGCTGAGCGGTGTATTTTGTTTCAGCCAATCACAACGCGTTAAGCCGTTTTGCCGCCAGCCCTCATTCTTATCCTACTGTAACGCAACGTTTGCGTATTTTTCTGAAAATATAATATAATATACGTGCCTACAAGAAGCAGAATTATGAAAAGGAAGGGAAAAAAACAATTTCACTTTACCGCCATGTTTGCTTTGTTCTTTCAAGCTCCATAAATGCTTAGGGGCAGCCATTTTGTACGCTCTTGCTTTACGCACCACGTTCACCGCCCATCTGGAACAACTTGCTTACTTATTCAATCAACTCGTTCCCAGTCCGTTTCGAAATCGACTAGCTAAAATGTGTGCTGTTTTTAGATCAGTCACTTCACGATGCCAACGATCCCAGTACTCTATTTACGATGATCGCGCCTGCAGTTGTGTTCTTCGTAATATTTTTGGCGTACTTTGCCTTTAAATGTCCTGCGTATCGCAACAGAAAAAAGTAAGTCGCCTCAATATATCTTTTGGGATCCCTGTGGCAAAGAAAAGAAAAGGGACATTGAGGAGAGTTCGCTCTCAGTCACACACAGGTAGCCCACCAATGAGATGCTACTTCTAGTCTGTATCTAAATTCAATTTTAAAAGACACTTTTTTTCAAACGTCTGCAAAAGATTGCAAATACATGACCTAAAAAATTAGACGTTATTCCGAGGAAGGGTGAAAAAACTCGACCTCGGAATCTTACTCAAAGAGAATGGAGCTTCATTCATATTTTAAAAATATTTTGTTCATTTTCAGGCGCAACCGAGCTTTGCTTAACTCCAAAGCCACATCAACATCGCTAACCAACACCGATGAACAAGCGACAAGTTTACTCGCTGACTGGTCGAACTTCAGCGACCGAGGAGAGAAAGTATAACGACAATGTGACCTCTTAAGAAGCACACTTTAAAGCATTTGCGGACCAAACTGCTTCGAAATAATCTCTTGGGGGAAAATTCTTAAAACAAGATTCGTTTTGAAGTATTTTCGGACCAAATTGCTTCGAAAGAGTCTCTTGAATGGAAAAATTCTTAAAACCAGATTCGTTTTAACGCATTCGCGGACCAAACTGCTTACAAAGAGTTTCTCGAGGGAAACAATTCTTAAAACAAGATTTGTTCTAAAGCATTTGCGGACAAAACTGCCTCGAAAGAATCTCTTGAGGGGAAAATTCTTACAACAAGCCATTCGTTTTTTAAAGCATTTGCGGATAACCTGCTTTGAAAGATTCTCTTGGGGGCAAAAATTCTACAACATTAATTTGCTAGAAGACTTTTATTTTTCAGTTAAAGCAGTACTCTGTGAGAATTATTGTTCGAAGATGCTCTTGAAAAGAAGAAAGAGACGAACAGTTAAAAAAATGGCTCTTCAAGCCGAATAACTAGCCAAACAAACCCGTCTCTACCGAAATAGCGGGTGTCAAGCCCTCCACATAAGCGCACCTCTATTTCTTATTATTCTAGTATTTATAATAGCTCACCTTTGCAAAAAAAATCTAAATAACCATTCTCCATTTTGACGCGAATGTGAAATGTATATAGTGTAGTTAGATAAAAAATTTCTTGTATTTCGCAATCAATATAGTTCGTACTTTTATACAAAAATATTCAAATTATATTCCTATTTCTGATTGGCTGAAATGCTTGCTCTAAATAGATAATCGCGCGTTCAATTAGAACTGACCATATTTGGTCATGCTCGGTCAAGAAACGCTATATATATATGATATATTATGATATTCATTGGTCTGGATAATATTAATGAAAAATGAACATTAATTTTATCCTCAATAATTGATAATATCTAGAAATCTGATTTCGAGAAAACGGCATTGAGCCTACAAACTCAAGCAATGACGTCACTGGGCATAAACATCAGGTTGCCATGGCTACTCTCACGTTACTATTTTTAAAAAAACTAGATGAATCTTCTTCTTTGTATAAGTTATCCAAATACATGTATTCGATAGTTGAACTAAGCCGAAATATCTATGGTTATAATAAGAAACAATTGAAATCCAGGAAAGCTTTTAAAAGTGGATCAAAATGGCTTCCAACAATCCTAAGGAACGGATTATCTTCAAAAAGACGTCTGGTCGCGAAAGTAAACCAAAATCCTCTACATATTGCAGTTAGAAGCTAGTGAACTCCCAGGAATAATTATCAATCAATTATGCGGATCCACACTACTTTGACAATGTGATGACGTAGTTTGTCGCCAATAAGAGGACAGACGCATAAACAACTGGGCCCGGTTGTACGAATCCTGGATAGCGCTATTCAACGGATAAATCTTATCCAGTGGATACATTTATTGGATAACAGCATCGACTTATCCACTGGATAAGGACTTATCCTCCGGATAGAGCTATCCAGGCTTCGTACAACTGGGCCTAATGTCTATTTGTTAATTAATCAATACGATTGAATAAGGAGATACCTCACTAGAGAACCTTGTATAAGCTACAGAATACGAAGCAGAGTCAAATCACTACGATGTATGCTATTTTTATTAATGATTGAACGCTAATACAAAAGGTGACAGGAAGGAAAATTATCCCACTTTCTTAGCTTTCTCACTCTGATCAGCAATTATTATTATAGATTATTTAATTATTAAGAAACAAATTAAACTCATCGTGTTATTGCCTGACTAAACTTTATTAACCAACTACGATATAACGAGTACCCTGAGCCGAACCTAATTGAAACAATGAATAACAAGGCGGTCTTCTTTGATGTCATTAGGTTCGGCTCATATGAAGTTCGATGTTTGACATGAGCCTAACAGTGGAAACCACCAAGTGAGAGTACTTTCTTTCCCCCTCTCCCCAGAGATTCCTTTACTCCCCACTCTTCCCCCCTCCTCAAAATCACTCCGCCCCCCTTAATGCATTAGTTCAAGGACACAAGATGCAAAATGCCTAAAACTACGAGAGGCAGGCTGTCCTTGGTGCTTGTAGCGTGACTTGCATCAGGGTTCGTATCGTACATTCGTACAATCGTTCCCACCATTTCGCTTTGTACCTTCGTGCAAGTTTTGTTCAGCCCCAATACCACGTTATACTTCACAACTGTAGTGAGTTTTTATGGCTTGACCGAGCGAGTTTTTCTGGTCTTTATCGAATGGAATAACTGTATAGTTCTTGGTATTATTCTGCTCGCTAACTTCACGGTTGATGATTTCGCTTTGGTATACCACAGGTAGCCCAAGTGTTGAACGATTGAAATTTTATGTGCTTTGAAAACATGCTTTTAAGAGGACTTAAATCTGCTTCAATTTTAGTTCGGAATGTGTAGCATTAATATATATTTTTTTCTTAATTATCTTTGGCTCCTAGTCGAGGTTAATATTTCATCCCATCTCTTATATCAACTGAGCATGAATGGGAGTATGTGGAATAGGTTATTAACTTATCTGTGAAAACGATTTTATTTTCCACGTGAACAAGATCTAGTCAGTCCAGAGCAATAGTTATCCAAACTGGTCGCCATATTTCGATTAGGTGTATACTTTAGTTATTATTCCCATAACTTTTAGCTGTTTACTGATACGGAAAAAAAGGATCCTGTAGTTTAAACACATTGTTAACGTGATATATCTAGAAATTTCTATAGGTCTCCACTATAATAGCAAAATATATCATGTTTCTTGCAATATTAGCAATAGATACAACTAAAACTGAAAGTAATAGAAGGAACTACAAAAACATGCCAACTAAGACCATTGCTCGCCTAAGGATTAGCAAAGTACATTTGCGCTACAGTTCAGTCCTAAAATTTTTGGTACAGTTTCTGTTCGCCACAATCGTTCCATTGTATTTTACCAGAATTGATAGATCAGTGTTCCAGGAGGTCATTGTTGATCGTCATTACTGTCTTGTCTTCTCCGACAAATACTCATTCCTCGGTTTACATCAGGTTCCACTCGATTGTTTAAATTATTTACCAACGTAAGATCTTTATTTGAATTCAAACAAGCTATATCGTTATGAATCCAGCATGTCTTCCTTGTTAACTCTTACAGCTCGCTCCTCTTGGATTTTGATTTCCGTGTTGTGCTGGTAATAACTTTTTCTGTCAACAATCCCGCTCTTCAGAGTGAAATTATATATGAGACAAGTATCGAACGAAGACATTCCTTGCAAGGTTTGGACGTTTGCTAAATCACGCCTGCTTCACGAGAAAAGGTGATCTTATACTGGTAGCAGGCATAGGATGGTTCTTGTTAAGTCTACCGCTGTATACGTCCTCCTCTTCTTCCGGGCTTCGCCAACACCGAGTCCTCCGTCACATTGTCCGCCATCACGATCTATCACTACTGACGCGACAACCACCACCTCGAACACCACCGCTTTACATTTTCTATAACATTCTCAATAATACGATTGAAAAATAAAATTTAGAAAAATACTATATTGTTGATCAATACATATTTGTTTTAAACATACATACTTATACATAACATGATATTACTAATAAACTTGGTTTAAATATTCCATTAATTTTAATAAAAGTTTAAAATCATAACAAATAAGAGTTAGAGTGCACGCACTAAACCCGTGAAACAAATACTAACTTTTAGCACTAAATGGTGATAATCAAACAATAGAAAACAAAGGATTCTGTATGGAAGAGTACTAATTAGTACTAATTAATGTTCACGGATTTAGTGCGTGCACTCTATCAAAATTCTAAAATACATTTGTTTCACTATATATAAACATACATTAATTTTTTTTTTTACTTAATGATACTTTACAGTGATCTAGTATTTGTACTGAGTTGCTAACTGAGAGATTAAATGAGAGAGAAACTAACTTATGAAAATAAAAACGATAACATTCATTGACTTCTTGGTATGTAAGTTGTTGATATTGCACTCCATATTTCCAAAACAACTTAGATGTTTGTGACCACACTTGAATGGTTTTCTTTATCCACAGGCATTCAGATAACGTTCATTGACTTCTTGGTAAGTTGATGATATTGCACTCCATATTTCCAAAACAACCTAGATGTTTGTGACCACACTTGAATGGTTTTCCTTATCCACAGACAATCACATATATAATAACGTTCATTGACGTCTTGGTAATTTGGCTAATATTGCACTCCATATTTCAAAAACAACAATTTTGAATAATAAAAGAATGATTTTGTATATTTTAATAATATGAAATAATAATAATAATAATAATAATAGTAATAATAATAATTATTATTATTATTATACAGCTTTTCATTAATCCCATATAGGTAACTGTCCAATTATTTTCTTAATTGGACAGGTCTTGTTGATATGGGATTAATTAGGCAGCTATATAATTAATAGGTRATGGGATTTCATGCTCCCCAATCAAGAAATAATTAGACTCGAAAAATTCCTCTGACTGCCAAATTGGACTCGGCCTACTGCCTCATCCAATTTTGTCAGTCCTCGGAATTTTCCTCGTCCAATTATTTCTTAATTGGACAGCATGGAGTCCTATTACATATACTAATAACAATATTTCATATAGCGTCAATATCCTGTAAAGTTCAACAACGCCTTACACTTCATTTCACAATAGTCAAAAATTAAATTAAAATTAACGGACGACAATGCAGTATAAATTCAGGTGCTGCATATGAGAAAGCCCTCCTACCATAAGATTTAAGCTTAAAATAACTTTTTGTTAAAAACTTGGAAGATTGAGATCTAAGCTGGCGAGCTGGAACATATGGTTTTACAAGATCCTTTAAATAAGAGAGCGCATAACCATTTAAAGACTTGAAAGTAAGAAGAAGTATCTTGTAGTTGATTCGGTATTCCACAGGCAAGCAGTGTAAGTTATAGAGAACAGGAGTAATAGAATGATTTTCACATGACCGTAAAAGAAAATAGACCATTTAGTTTATAATAGTTGATAAAGCACAAAAGAAACTCATTGGTTTAGAGTCTACTACTAACTATTAGTTTGCCTATTCTTTCACGATCATATGAAAATCACTCTATGATCTAGTTTACGACTCTGAACAGGACACTAAACGTGTTGCTGAATTTTGAAATCGCTGAAGTTGAAGCACTGGTGGCGTGCGCTGCTAATGCGCCGCCTCTCAMCAATACGGCCCGAGTTCGAGTCCTGCCGATCTCGATGTCGTATGTGAGTAGAGTTGTTTGTTGGTTCTCTCCTGTGCTTCGAGGGTTTTTTCTCCGGTTTTCCTCCCTCCACAAAAATAAACTACTAAATTCTAACTCGATCTTTGGGCTTTCACTTAATTTGGAGCCTAGCGCTGTTGTGATTGTCCCACGCTGTGATACGACAGCGAAAAGCTTCGTAGATTTTAGATTTTAGAGGTTTTTGCATTAAGTATTTAGGTATTCCATATAACAAAGAATTGCAAAAGTCAAGTCGTGAAGAAATGAAAGCATGTACTAGAGTTTCACAAGCTTCAAGGGAAATAAGTCTTCGAATTTTCCAAATATTTCTGATCATGCGGAAGAAACATGACTTGCAAATTGAATTCTCAGGTGAAATCTCTTGAAAAGATAATAATAGAGAATCGAATGACAAAGAATGTTCTGGAAAAGTGACCTTTTCAGATGAACTATCAAATCCTGCCTGGAGGATCGTTATTTTATTTTCGAAAAAAATCAGCAAAAGAGTCCGCAAGTTTATTTGACGAGAAAGGAAATTGCTGAGCCCTCATACTTCTCAATTTCTGAACAGTAGAAAACAGAGCACCGCTGATTGGATTGGTTCTCAGCAGGGTTCTCAGGATGATGTTAGAAAAGAACTAGTTTTATTGATAATATTTCAAACCACTTTGCATTGATTCACATACAATTGACAATGAATAGTGAGACGAGACTTTTGTCCTCTCCAAACGCCTACGTTTTACTTTAGCTACCTTAATTTCCTCATTATACCAAGGTGCAGATGGACGCACAGTGATAAGGCGATCTTTACAAGCTGATCAAAGATGGAAGTCAGCACTGTCTCATATTGACCAACAGGACAAGAGAGATCAGATTTAGGAGCTGTCAATAATGAAGAGCTCAAAACATCAATAGAAAAGGAGTCAAGATAACAGATTTCAATTTGCGGCAATTAAGAAACCTTCTATCAAATTCTCTACTTTCACATCCCCATAATACTTTGCATCTTTGGGGGGTAACCAGAGGGTAAAAACCCACTTATTTTGCTGAAGGATGATCAGACAATGTTGAAAACACCTTGTTTGGTATCCAAAGATAAAATGAAGAAGTAAAAAACAGAAAAAGATAGAAGCCAGCTTGAAGACGTTTAAGGTAAATTTTAAACATTTTTTCGTAAGTCAATACATTTTCTGTAAGACCAAAACTATGGTGTTGAGCAATGGCGGGAAATTTGACTTCGTTGAACATCTAAAGATTTCCACCAAAGACACCGCGATAGAAGAAAATTCCTCAAATAAGAAATCATAATTGAAAAGCTAAAAATGTTGTCAATTGTATTTAAACCAAAGAAAAATGGTAAAAGCTAAAAATCCTATGAAATTTGTAAAAATTAGAGAGAGCCTCAAGCAAAATAAGCAACTATACGCCGAGTGCTGATTTCGCTATATTTTCCCATTTGTTTTCTCTTCTTTTTCACCCTTTTCCCATTTTGTGACTAATAAATATAAAATCGAATATGTATATAAAAATTCCAAGGACCAATGACTCGGAAACATTCCTTCGAAAACCATTTCTGAAAACACGTTGCATTTTGATCTAGCATGGGTACAACCATATTTACCATGCCTATTTGCTCACTCCATGCCTATTTGCTCACTCCATGCCTATTTGCTCACTCCATGCCTATTTGCTCACTCCATGCCAATTCACATCTACCAAAGAATATAAAATAATTACGGGAGTTTTCCAGTAATACCAGATAAGTACGATCCCTTTTTCGACCTTCTTTCTTTTGTACGATTTATTTCCATTTTCTCATTTTCTCTTTTTTATCATGTACACAGTTTAGTGTAGTTTTTCTCAGTATTCATCACGTTCTACGTTGTGTCGCTTTTAAAGTTCAGATTAAAATTTATTAGATATCAATTTTATTTAGAAAGCAAATGTAAACACAGGTATCCCAAGCTCAATTTTAGTGTCGATCGAATTACAGCTAGTAAATGTTTGAAGTTGTTTGTATTGTTATCATCGTAGATCTGAGATGAGTTTACAAACAATTTAGTTTAAAAACATATTTACAAATGTATTTCTTAGCTTATACTAATTGATCTTTTACAAACTCCATACATTTACTGAAAATTGCTTAATATCAATCACGTGACTTTTTAGAGTCGACTGGGGGACAAACCGCGGTTGACTAGGTGCAACTAGCAGATCTTAGGTCAAAACATGTCAAAATAAGTCCTCAAACTATTGTATTTGACTAATTCTACGACACATGAAACCAGAAAACAAGAGATGAAAACAACCTCCAAAATCCTACAAGCCATTAAAAACGCAGCTATTACCGGATGTGACGTCTATTGATAGCAACCTATTCTGTGATATACACATATATATATCCATTTATTAAAAACTGACAAAGAAGCTTTTCAAAGTATTTACACTACATTTCTTATTATCATCTTTTTTGGATTTTAAATTTTAAATTTAGAAATTTATAATCGAAATAGTTGAAAAGTTTGTTAGTTGATATACTGAGATAATACAAATGATTTAGTCTTGGTTGCCATGGGAGCAGAGAGAGAACGAAGGCCAGATGTCACATTAGTATTCAACTGTTCAGATGAACTACTTTTTTGAATTCAATAATTCAGTCCGGCCAAGAAAGTAAAAAACAAGAAGATTTTTTGATTAAAAAAATAGGGTAGTTATTACTCTTCTTCTTCAGATCTGATACAAAACAAATATATCCCCAAACCAATCGAAATCAGTACGAATACACCGAGCGCTGTGTAGAATACTATCGTGCTTATTTCGTTTACACCTTCCCTGAAGTCTGGGTTCGTTGTATACATTCGTACAACGGTGCCATTCATGGTCCATACGGCCTGTGAACACTGTGAAGTAATCGCATCGTCGTATCCTACCTTAGCAGACAATTCAACTGATTCTTCAAGCGCGTTCTCGTTGATGCTAATCGTTCCGTTTTCTCCAGGAATCAATTCCTTCTTACCGTTATTAAACTTCTCGTATCGAACACTGCTTGAGACGTACTTTACGTTTTGATTCAAGTCGTGCCGAAGGTTATAGGATTTACTGAAATTCAAGCAAATCCTTCCAGAACGATCAAGCATTGCTTCCCTTGTGAATTTTACCCTTATTGCTCGATCCTTTGGGATTTTAACTTCAATCTTATGCATATAATACGTCTCTCTAAACACTGGGCCGTTTTGCAGGTTATATAACTCCATCTTGTTCCCTGGAAAGACATTTCTCGCCAGATTTTGAGGAGTTCCGACGCTTGCTTGATTTACAATTACAGGAGACTTTGAATTCACTGCTGGAATAGGTGAATATTTGGTTATTTTTCCTGTATATCCTTCATGCTCTTCCCTAGCATCGATCGCCTCTCTCATTAAAGCGACAAGGAATACTTGAAGAACTATCTTCATCATACTGGCCATACTGACAAAGACATGTTTTCAGATATTGTGGTTTTGGTCGTCATTTTCAACGGGTTGATTAGTTCCCGTTTGCAATGTTATGTTTCGTGTTATACGTCTTGCACAGACAGACGTATTGTCACGGCAGTAAACATACACTGTGACAGGTGTTCAAGTCATGTTTTAATTAAATCGCGTGACATTGGATTTCATCCAAAGGTAACCCAATCTGACTTTTCCTAGAAAAAAAAAAGATGAAGCTGAAAATGATAAAGATAGTAAATTTCTTCAATTTAGGGTACTCCAAAGCTCACTTTTGATTATTCCGATTCCACAGATAATGCTTTCATTTAGATATTTTCCCTAATCCAGATCCATAGCTTGAAATTTCTGATTTCAACCGATAAAGGAAATGTACTTTTAGCTCCTCTAAGACACTGTAATCGTTTAAGCCATTTACGCTGAAACGCAATAAGTTTCAGTCTCAGAATTGCTCAATCACGATGTACAATAATATAGATATTTATTTCACAATTCGTCAACTGACCGAATAGAAGGCAGCACGTGACGAAACGAAGCAATAGGACACAAAGTCCCAGCTTTTCTTTTTGACGTCCCTCGATAATTTCAGATTTATCTGCTCCGAAAAGCTTGTTTTAAAAGTAAAATATATTGCCTGTAGAGGAAATTCGGAATTTATAGCGTTATTAACTACAACCCCCAGATTCCTTTGCACGCTCTTTGGTCCAGTTACTTAGCACCAACTGCCGTTACTACCGTCATGAAAAATTCAAATTCGAATAACAATAAATATTTCATTTTAATTCACGAATCATTTTAGTAGCGGTAGTCAAAGTCGTTTTTAGTCTCCGCTCCATTCCCCCACGTTCCACCGTAACAGCTGCGAGGAAGCAAATCAATCGTCCCATCACGAGAAAACCTATATCGCATTAATCGCGATAGCGGTTATTTGAGTAAAATTCTGTGGAATTTTTCAAAGTCACTGATACAATGAATTCTTGTTTCAATCCTATGTCGAAAACATTGAAACAAATTTAACCATGATATTCTTATTGTTACCAATAAACTACACATTTTCAACATTAAAATTGTTTCGTCTACTTTAATTTATCTCAAACAAAAAGACTGGCTTACTAATAAGTATTTTTCAAGCCAGCTGTAACCGGTTACCTAAATTCATACCAGTTTCACCCATGTCCGTTCAAATACATCATTACAATACAAAGTGATAATTTATATACATTAATGGACGAAATTAATAAATTTCAATATAAGTAGTTCCACAGTTATATATCAACCACGTTATTGCAATTTTCATAAACATGCGAACTGTCTGCAAGCTGCACGCTGAAATTTGGTTTTTCGCTGCTGCCAGTCAAAAATATGAAAGGTACCGACTGATTAGGTTTGATTGACGGCAGCGAAAACCAAATTTCAGCGTGCAGTTTGCAGACACAGAGTTCGCATGTTTATGAAAATCGTAGTAATCAGCCTGCGAGAAAACCAGCTCGCTTGCTAGGTGTTTTTGTGTCTACTACATATTATTAAATAAGCAGTAGAGTGATTTTATTTAACCCATGAAAGAAAAAAGACTTTTTACTTACGTTATTGCTAGTTGATAAAATATAGAAAGAAAACAATGGGTTTAGAGTCTACTACTAAATTATGCATGCGTACTATTTTTTCACGGGTTACAGCTATTATCATAAACATGCGACCTCGGTGCTCTGAGTTGCACGCTGAAATTTGGATTTTCGCTGCCGTCAATCAAAAATATGAAAGTTACCGACTGATTAGTCCTTTTGCATATAAGACAGGTGTCCCGTGTCCCGAAATGTCTCACTTATACCCGAGCATTGTTATTCAGGCACGCGGAAATGAGTATATTCCTCTTACTAGCGGTTTTCATGTCGGCTCTAATGTTCCATTTCTGCCATAATTTTGCTTCAGTTTATACCCACGCTGAAAAATGTGTTTTGTATTTCGTGTTTCATTTATCAGAAACAATCATTAAAAACAATATGGACTACTTCGACGATACTGCGGCCATTGTGTTAAGGGGCACTAATAAAAAACTTAGCTTGTTTTACAGTTATGGAGTCGATTAGCATTCAATAGATCTTTAACGAACACGAAATGGTTTCAAGTCGAGGCTGGCCTTGATAAAGAAAAGAATCAAGGACCGCCTCCATTTCAAGCGAATTGGGGAAAGGTTTATTCATCGCGAGAGACGTTTTTGGGATATGAATTTGCAAGATGAATGTGGAATGATACCAAAATACCATTTACAACCTGCACTTTTGCGAGTGGTCGCCAATACTATAGAAAATCTTATGGTATTTATATTGTTATTTACATTTTATCTAGCTCGAGCTCATTTGTAAAAATCCTTACAAAAAGTTTTACGGATATGATGGAAATACTCTACTAGATCTTTGTTTTAAACATTGATGTCTTCGTAACAAAATATCAAAATTTCTTTTGCTTTTAATTTTTCTTATGCAATACATGCACGATTTCAGCTTCCTTTATGGTCCAGTTTCATTTAAATTATACTTGACTAAGTGTCTTTTATACGCCAACTGTATCTATAAGATATCGTTCGAAAAGAAATCTTAAAAATAGAAAAACGAAAAAACAAATGAAACATGTATAAAGGTATCAGTAGACCTTTATCAATAGACCAGTGGTTTCAATAAAAAGACTAKTCGTGAAACCAGCCTAAGCATGTAGATGACCAGGAGTTTAAGCTACCAAATGGAATAATATTCCAAAATTTTACCGAGAGGAAATAGAAACTAGTAAGGTCTACTGATACCTTATTCAGAATCTGAAAGATTTTGCCACTTGGCGACAGCTTTCTTATGGGCGTCGCGCCTGATTTGACGCTGTCCATCATGCCTGGAAGCATGTCCAGGACGCTATCAATCTTCGACTTTTTGGTGTCCTTCTTATACTAGAAAGTTTGAGTGACCACAGTCACCATTGTTATCTATTTATCAAAGATATGCCACCACCGTTTCCTTTTTTTCTTTGGTCAAATTCCAGTGATTGTTCTGACA